CAGACAGACCACAGGGTGAGCACCCCCTGCTGGTCTCCCTAACACCTCTTCCAACAGCAACCTAGTTTTCCCAGGAGGTCTCCCATCCAGGTACTGACCAGGCTCAACCCTGCTTAGTGTTAAGATGAAAGTTCTAACACACACACACAGCAATTTGTTATAGTCTTGAGTTTAAAGTTCCGGAATATTTTTGTTAGTTTAAATTGTTAATTTTTGTTCTTCAATAAAGTTCTTGCATAATCTGGAAAGTCTAGATATTGCTTCACCAAATTACCTCTTATTGTTACATCTATCCCCAGCTAGTGTTACAACTCACCCCAGTAGTGGGGTAGGTTGTAACAACGGAACTCTTTGTATTTTACATTGCCTCACATAATCTGTGATTGTGTAGTACAAGTTCAAGTGAGTTTTATTTGTAGTAGACAAATGTGGCTACAATGTATCAAAGTTTGAGAGGTCTAGCATGAACAACCACTAAGTTACTGACCCTCAAACAAAAAGTGTTACTATCATCCCCGGTCTCCCCCTACAATACAAATGCTAACAGTAGAAATTCCAGTAAGCATATGCTTAATAACTGTTAAAATAATGGCAGGGTCCTTGAAATTTTTTACACACTACTGACATAACAAAACTGTTAACAATAATAGTAACAATAATGTAAATTTCTAAGCACAGCATTTTCAGGTGTTTGAGCGTTATTAGGGTTTGAACTCAAGAGGGGTCACAACCTCTTGCTCGGGGCATTTTTGAACAAACTGTGACTGTTCATACGGTGCAGTCGCATCACATATTACACAACATTTCACCACATAAATAATTATGGCGATAAAAGATTTAAGACGAAAATGTTTTAAAATCTTACCAGTTTGTTAGTTATCTTATAATCCATTACAGCGTACTTAACAATCGTAGCAAAATGGTAGCAGCTGTGTTTGTATGAAACGAGAGAAGTGAGTCCGCGATACCAATCAGAATAAAGTATTCCACAGAGCCGCGTAATAAGTCCTGATATTATCCCCCTCTCTTGTCCGCCACTTTCCTGTCTGTCCCTATGATATAATATCTATAAAGAAATATTTAATTAAAAAACAATAGATGCATCAGTTCAGTCTATAAGTATTTTAAATGAAGAGTTTGAGATGTGTCCCATTAACTTTATAAATGTGTGAATATGTCTCTGACAATTTCTCAGTGAAGAAACAAATCTGAAACATTTTCAGGGCCAAACAGAATCAGAGACCCTGGTCTAAATCATGTCCTGTCTTTAATGTATGCCCTGGACTCACAATGGAAAAGCTCCTTATTACTTAGATAAATGGGTGAAATGATCCTTTCAAGTATTGTTATGAACGAATTGACATAAGATGAAACATCAATACAACATGACATGTTAAATAGAGAGTTTACCTCTGATTATATCTGAATGAACAAACACCAACTATAATAAAAAGAAATGGATGGTAACACTAAGAAAATGAAGAAATGAAACAAGTTTGTGCTTTATGAACCTGTTCAATTCCTAATGTGTTTTAGATCAATTCAGAGAGAATCTCCAGAACCCAGCTGTCTGTCCATGCAAAGTGATGGGTCTATGGATCATCCACCGGGGTTCAGTTCAGGATTGTCTTCTGCTGATGTGAGGTGAAGACAGACCGATGGTTTAAAGGATTAAATCAGTTCATCAGTCTGTATTTCCTGAGCTGGAGGAGTCTGTGGTGCTGGGCAGGAAACTGATTTGGAGATATTCACCTGTACACTAATTTTTAAAATTTTACAATACAAATAGATATATTTGTATTGTACAAATACAATACAAATGCTAACAGTAGGAATTCCAGTAAATATATGCTTAATAACTGTTAAAATAATGGCAGGGTCCTTGAAATTTTTTTCCCACTACGGACATAACAAAACTATTAACAATAATACTAACAATAATGCAAATTTCTAAGCACAGCATTTTCAGGTGTTTGAACATTATTAGGGTTTGAACTCAAGAGGGGTCACAACCTCTTGCTCGGGGCCTTTTTGAACAAACTGTGACTGTTCAGTCAAAAAGAACTGAAACGGGTTGGAGCAGTGTCACAGATGGTAGTGCACATGCTCACAATACAAAAAGAGCTGTGGGCTCAGGGGGGCTCAAATATGAATCCAGCCTGTGGTCATGTAAGGGATAATGCTTCGCGTCGGGGTCCTGAATTATTAGGGTTTGAACTCAAGAGGGGTCACAACCTCTTGCTCGGGGCCTTTTTGAACAAACTGTGACTGTTCAGTCAAAAAGAACTGAAACGGGTTGGAGCAGTGTCACAGATGGTAGTGCACTCACTCACAATACAAAAAGAGCTGTGGGCTCAGGGGGGCTCAAATTTGAATCCAGCCTGTGGTCATGTCCTGATATTATCCCCCTCTCTTGTCCACCACTTTCTGTGTGTCCTTATGAAATAATACCCATAAATAAATATTTAATTAAAAAAACAATAGTTGCATTAGTTCAGTCTATAAGTATTTTAAATGAAGAGTTTGAGATGTGTCCCACTAACTGGACTCACAATGGAAAAGCTTTACTTAGATAAATGGGTGAAATTATCCTTTCAAGTATTATGAACGAATTGACATAAAATGAAACATCAATACAACATGACGTTAAATAGAGTTTACCTCTGATTATATCTGAATTAACAAACACCAGCTATAATAAAAAGAAATGGATGGTAACACTGAGAAAATGAAGAAATGAAACAAGTTTGTGCTTTATGAATCTGTTAAATTCCTAATGTGTTTTAGATCAATTCAGAGAGATTCTCCTGAACCCAGCTGTCTTTCCATGCAAAGTGATGGGTCTATGGATCATCCACCGGGGTTCAGTTCAGGAGTGTCTTCTGCTGATGTGAGGTGAAGACAGACTGATGGTTTAAAGGATTAAATCAGTCTGTATTTCCTGAGCTGGAGGAGTCTGTGGTGCTGGGCAGGAAACAGTGATGTGAATATATTCACCTGGCTAGTTAATTTGGCTTGAGAAAGCCAACTTACTGAAATCCGACTTAAATTTACAGTTCTTCTTATTATTATTCTTCGGAGACTAAAATTTCGGACTCTAACTCCTCCTAGAGCTTTAGCTCCACAAACTCCAAACTCAGCCCATACCTTCAGACTGATCTCACTTAGTGTGCTATATCTTTTCTAACTGATCAGACTTACGGTTTTCATAAACCTGAAGATTAAAAATCCCATAGACTTACATTGATAGAATGTACAAATGAGCCAAGACTATTCAAACTTCTGCTGATGTGAGGTGAGGACAGACTGATGGTTTAAAGGATTAAATCAGTCTGTATTTCCTGAGCTGGAGGAATCTATCTAATAGACTGTATTGCCTTCAAAACATTCAGACTTCAATATTTTAATCAAAGCTATTTTAAACTGAAAACTATTTTAAACTGAAAGCCGTCAAACTTTTAAAACTTTTGTAAACTTTTAAAACTTTCTGGCTTGGCTTTCTCAAGCCAACTTCAAAGTTTGTCTTGACAAACTTTTTTATCTAGTTATTATTATTATTATTATATTATGTGCCTTGTTGCTGCATTTATATGTGTGCACTGGAAGCTTCATTACACACACACTCACTGATGCTTCAGTTCAGCCTCTCTGATACTGAATGGAGATTCATTGTTTGAATATTCACTGACTGAACACTGATTTCAGGAGCTTGAGAACAACATTATCTGTCTGATGAAGAATGAGCTGAAGAGGTTAAAGAGACTACTGAGCCCAGATTACCCAGCATGCTCTGAGAGAGAGGAGGAGGATGAAGGTCAGATCAGACAGGGGGTTCTAAAGATCACACTGACCACCCTGAGGAAGATGAACCAGACAGACCTTGCTAACAAACTACAGACCAGTAAGTGCTCATGCAACCATTATTACTGTAATGGTTTTAATCTAAGTACCATAAATGTAATATTTTTTTGTGCCAAAAAATTGATATTAAGATTAATATTTAGTTTTGGTCACGTCACATAAGGTGAGTGTGAGAATGTCATATAATTCCTTCCTATTTTATGGGGCACCAGGCAAGGAATGTCATCTTGACAATAATAAACAATCATGGAAGATTGTTGAATAAATAAGAGTTGGAGGAAGCTTGTTATCTGACCAGTCTGAAGAATTTGTGAGATATTGTTAACTTATAGAGCCTTTTACTGTATTATCAATACAAAAAAGACACGTGTAATAAAATTTATTTTACTAACAAAAAGGATAGACAGGAGTAACTAGCAAAGATGAAGGATCCCTGAAGAGACGGTTCTGATGTTGGTGGAGAAGATCTGGGCAATCTTGAACACACAGATGGAGGATCACTGACGAGAAGATTCTGAAGTTGGTGCAGAAGATGGGGGGCACTAAGCTTGTGGTTGTTGTTGCTGTTTCCAAACTCCCAAAATTCACTTTTTGTAGAACTTCCTTGTTTCTCCTTGGAACAACAACATAGCCTAGCACTTAGCTGCACTTAGCACAAGAAGCAGCTCTTTGTCTCAGAGAAAACCTTTTAATCTTTCCTGAGAAGGAGTGATTTGCAAATTGGGCACCTTTCAGATCCAGCGTTTTGATTGACTGATGCTATCATGAGGTTTATAGCATAAGGCTCTAGCATGAGGTTTATTTGCATAGCTTGAAGGGGACATAACACACACAGTTTCAGCCAATCTCATGTTAAACTTAAGTACTTATATAGTAGTATTGCATCGTTCATATCTCAGAAGAGTCTTTAATTTCATCAGATTTATAAAAGAAAGATACAGCTTTACGCTTCTCTCCAAAAACAGCTGAGCTCCTGGAGGCGTGCCTCTGATGGGCTGCTCTTGCTCTCGCTCTGTTTGGTGGGTGCACGCGCTCTTACAGGAGTAGTGCCCATAAAAGGAATTCCGCCCTTCATGACATCATGAAGGACCATGCTCGACAAAAAAACTTTCCGAAACTTATACGAACCCGGAAGGAGTGTATTTGGCACAGAAATCAAGTAGTTTTTTGAAACCTTGATCATGTTTAGCATGAGAATCCAACAGTGTAAATAACTCAGAATGCATGAAACAGAATTAGAACCCCCTTTAAAGTTCACATTTAGAACAACATTGAGCACGTTTACATGCACACCAGTAAGCTGATAACTCACAAATATCAGCTCATTAAAATAACCAGTTTTCCCCGTTTACATAAAGTAAGCTGCGTTTACATGACTTCATTAATAAATCAGGTTATTTCCCTTTAGTGACGTCAAAATATAATCATTTGCATATCTGACTCCGAGTATTCCATACATTTGTCAGTTGTGATGTTAAATTAAGCTTGCAACATGTCAACTTGCAACATGTCGGGAAACTTACAGCTCATATATTATCCTCTCATTCAGTTATAAACGCAGCATTGTGACTGAACCACTTCTACTTCTGCTGCACGAGATGAGAACACATTTTTAGCGTTTTCTGAGTCATGAAAAAGTCTGCTTTTGTGATATATTTCCTTCTTTCTTTACTGCAAGACGTTTGCTCGGTCTAGATACGCTTAAATCTGCACTAACGTTCCGTTCCTGTCACGTATCACACATGTGCACTTCAGTAAGCTGACAGAAAGCGGGTTTTTGCGTTTACATGCCGTGCGAAATCGTAGTAAGAGGCAAAAAACTACCTGTTGCGACCGGTTTATGCTTACGCCGTTTATGACCTTACTCCGATAAAAGAAAACGGGTTACCGCGTTTACATGACCAAGTGCGTTTTCGGCTTATTAAGCATAATCGGCTTAAGAACGTGCATGTAAACGCACTCATTGTTGCATCACAAACAGCACTCATTAACTATATACAGTTCTGTAAATGGATGTGAAGAAAGTTTCCTCAATTTTGTGTCTATGTTCTGTGAATGCATGTGAAGATCTGCCCTTCCCTTGTGGCTTTGGCCACATGGTAAAACTTGTTTCTCTTGTGAGAGAAATTTATTATCATTCACACTTTGAAAAGAGTAAGGGAGAACAAAGAAGTTCCTTGTAGGGATGTAACGATGAACCCCGAGCCAGCTAAAAATTGACGTTTCAAGTTGGTTGAGATGTTAAAGGGGTCATCGGATGCTAAATTCACTTTTACATGTTGTTTGAACATAAATGTGTGTTGGCAGTGTGTGTACACATCTACCCTATAATGATAAAAATCCACCCACTGTGAGCACATGACTTGTGTTGTATTTGTTTGGTGCCATGTGCTCTCTCCTGTCTATTGTCTGTCCCTGCCCATCTTGTTATCTCATTATTGTTTAAGTTGCTCCACCTGTGTCTCCCTCGTTACCCTCCTCGTTTGTTTCCCTATTTATTCTCTCATTTTATTATTAAAAAGAAAGACCATTCTTCCTGCAATTTGAGTCCTCGCCTCATCGCTCCACATGCATCGTGACAGAACGGATCAGCCATAATGAGGACTCAGCGGAAGAAGGGCTTGCGCCCATCCACCTGTCTCCATTCTCTCAAGTCTGGTGGTCCTGGAGGACCCGACTGTGGTGATCCCAAGTCCGGTGGTCCTGGAGGACCTGACTCTGGTGGTCTCAAGTCTGGTGGTCCTGGAGAACCTGACTCCGGTGGTCTCAGAGGTCACCACAGAGCTGCCCGATTTCACTGCTGCTGCCATAATCAAGAAGGCCATCTTTGCCTGAGCCACCAGGGGGGTCATCTGCCTTGTTAACTCCGCTGAGGTGGTCATCGGATCTGCCCTTGCTGCCTGCCAAGCTCCTGGCTCTGCCCTGGTCACCCGCCAGGGTTGCTGTTCGGCCGGAGCCTCATTGCCGCCTCCCTCCGGGATTTCTTTTGTTGGAGTGTCTGGAATCCGCTCCTTAAGGGAGGGGTTCTGTCACAGTCTTCAGCTGGTGTGCCCAGGATGGCCACCAGATGACACTGTGTTTTTCTGTGAGCACATAAGCTTTTGCACATGTTGCACATGTTGTGTTTGTTTGATGCCATGTTCTTTCTCCTGTCTATTGTCTGACCCCGCCCATCTTGTTACCTCATTATTGTTTAAGTTGCTCCACCTGTGTCTCCGTAGTTACCCTCCTCGTTTGTTTCCCTATTTATTCTCCTGGTGTCTGCAGTCCTGTGCTGATCCGTTGTTTTTCGTCAGTTGTTTTACGTTGTGTGTGTTATGTCTGCATGTAGTGCAGTTCCTAGCCTGCCTGCCTGTTTTTCCCCCTCTGGGTGGTTTTTGCTAATTTTAGTTTCATTTTATTATTAAAAAAAAAAAGACCATTCTTCCTGCAACTTGATCCTCGCCTCATTTCTCCACACGCACTGTGACAGTTGCTGCCTCAAAAGCTGGATACTCTGGAACTTTATGATGTTTTAACAAAGTCCGGGAGGAGCACGTTCAGATAATTAACCTAATTAACACGAGAGAAGCACAATCAGTAATCAACCCAGATAACAAGACAAGAGGTGTGTATATATACACGGCAGACTTACCTCTGTTCCTTGACAGTTTTCCAGCATTAGGTTTGCACCTTTTGCCATTATATCACAGACTCAACTTTTCCTGTCCAAATGACGAGACCTATACTGGGGATTTTTTCGGATCCTCTGGCCAATCTGCCGGCCCCAGGATCACTCCTTCTCCGTCAGACACCGCCGCCGAGCTCCAGGCTTCATCGCGGCCGCTGCTCTCTGCTCGACCAGCCACCCGCTCTCCACGACGCCGAGGCTTGACCTCACC